AAAGAAAGAAAGAAAGAAAGAAAGAAAGAAAGAAAGAAAGAAAGAAAGAAAGAAAAAGATGTTGAAGTTAGGTTCATTGCATTCAGAGACAAACTCTGTCCCTTTGCCCTCAGGATACACCCTGAACCTTAGCCAGTTGGCTTTGAAAGTCTCACGTGGGTGAATGGGTGCCTGGCTGAGCAGAGCTCACTCACTGCCCCCATCCCTGATGTTAGGTGGCCCAGGTGTCACCTGATGCAGAGGAGAGTGGGTTAATGTGTTGAGAACTCACCCCTGCATGTGAGAGCCAACCAGTCGGCTGTGTGGGAGCAGGCTGGGGCTTCGGGAAGCCACATTTGGTATGGGACTTCAAGCAGCAATTTGGTCAGAGGGATCTTGGCAGCCCGGAGGAGACAGCACGTAAGCCCGCACGAAAACAACAGAGCCCCGAGGCCAGCAGTTTATGGGTGTTTCCAATAAAGACGCAGAGCCCAGCGCCTCTCTGAGGTGTCCCTAGCACAGGAACACAGCACACATTTATCTGGCCACATCTGCACTTTTAAGCACTTAGGAATATCCAGAGAAGGGGCCTGTGTGCCTTTCCAAGCATCCTGCTGGCCTGCCTCTGAAGTCAAAGCTGTACGTCAGATGCGGATAGGACAGGGAGCGGGGCGGAGCCAGGACGGGCATTAAAGGCTCAGGACGAAATGGCTCCTCAGTGGCAGACAAAAGTATGCCTTTTTCTTAAACCATGAACCTGGAATGTGCCCTCTGATGATGATTACAGGCCAAATCAACACTCAAGTGATGGAAACCAGGCCCACGCTTTGCTCATGATGTCCAGGCTGGGACAGCTGTGGCCTAATGAGATCCAGAAGCCTTACCGTGCTCACCAGCAGGTCCTCAGGGGAGGGGGGACCCAGGCACTGTTCTGAAGGGCTCCCTGCCCAGCTCGGGGGCTCTGCAGGTGTGCACCAGAGTCAACCCCATCTCACCCATGGACTCCTTGCTTGGGTGACAGGAAGGGGTTGTAGTACTAGGGTCAGAGCATCTGGACAGAGCTATTCCCGGACCTCCTCCCCAGCTCGAACCGTGACCCCATCTGCCTGCAATTTCTCAACTACATCTGGAAATGCATGTAAATTGTGCTCCCTTTGCACTTGGTGGAAATGATATTTCTATCTGATACATAATGAAGCCCCATGATAATGCACTCACAATAACGTTTAAGATCAGATGAATATACAGGGAGGGTGATTGCTCCCTGCCCCCTGGTCATTCCACCTACCTCATTAAAACCCAAGCCCACATTTTATGGGACCAAATTCGGGTGGCCCTACTTAGGAATTTACTGTATTTTTTTAGTGACCTAAGTCATGCATAGAGAAATGCCAAATATGCCGAAGCCCCCTCCACCTGCTGCCAGGACCACTTCAGTAAGAGACAGCCCTGGTAAGATGCTGCTCTCAAGGACATTTCTACCTGAAGGAGCTTACATTTATTTTATTTTATTTTTTAATCTTTTAAGATTTTATTTATTTCTTTGACAGAGAGGCACAGCAGGAGAGGGAACACAACCAGGTGGAGTGTGAGAGGGAGAATCAGGCTTCCCGCCGAGCAGGGAGCCTGATGCGGGGCTCGATCCCAGGACTCTGGGATCACGACCTGAGCGGAAGGCAGACGCGTAACCGACTGAGCCACCCAGGTGCCCCAGGAGCTTACATTTTAAATGCCTGTGGGTCACTGTCACCTCTCAGTGGTCCCCCAGGTAGCGGCTCAACAGTCAACGGTGTGCATGTGGTCCCGGTAAGGATGTTTAGTCCCTCGCAGAGTGAAGGGGAAAAAGACGGCTTAACGGACCCTTTCGTAGCTCATAAGCGTGATGATTGGGTGTTCATGCTGTTGTGCGCTATGTGCCTCCCTCCAACCTTGTTACGACCTCGGCACATTACCCGTCTGACATGAACTTGGAGGAAGAAAAAAAAGAAAGATGGCTTAACAGAGAAGTCAAGGCAGAACATTTGTTCTGGTCCGCACAGGACAGCAGATCCAGACTTGCCCTTGATAATAAGCTGCTTCCTCACACAGCTCTGGGGAGGGAATACGGCTGGTAATTAATTCTCCACCATTTGGGATGGTATATGAGGCAACGCACCAGATCCAGCTGTTCCTTCCAGCATCATCTTCCCCATCACCATTATTGGAGCCACTGGTCCTGAGAGCTGAAGAATTCTTGAGAGATTGGAGACCTGCACATCACTAATCTTGCTTCATGTCATTGTCAGTGACATTCTCGAGTGTCAAGGAGCTGTGATTCCTGAACAAGAAAGAAAAGTACCTTCTCCACAGCTTCAGCACAAAAGACGACCTTGAAGAGAAGACATCCAAGTGTAGAGGGGGATAGGAGGAAGGTACCGATTTTCCACAGTTAATATTGTTCATGCTTTCCGGAAAAGAAATCACAGTACAATCTAGACCTGGCTACACTCTTGGAGGAAGTTTGCTTCACTGTCTGGAGTCCCGGCCTCTTTAAAGGGGCAGAACGCTCCACATATGACTACAAGGTTGCTGTAGTCTTGTCTGGAGCACCCCACAAGCAGACAAGTCAACAAACCCAATCTCTTACTCACAAACAGAATCGTGTGAACTTCTCCCTGCCCTCTGGCTTTAGCCATAGGAAGTAATTCCAGAATATACTAGAATGTTCTAGAACTTCCCAAGAATTCTGGAATGCCTATACTCTCCGGCCAAGCCTACCCAGCTCTCTCCTCCAGAGCCCTTGCAGACTTTAGAATCTCCCACCTACAGTTTCTTCTCCCACCATGAACTGAACTGGAGTTCAGAGACTGCTTGTACTTCATGTCTGTTAACCTCACCACTCAAATTTATTTGCTACTTAGTATGTTCTCACTATACTGCATTTCCTTTTTCTCTAATTTTTAATCACAGTCTACAGTGGATGTGTGAGAGGCAGGAGAGCCCCCACCTCCAGTCTCGTCAGCAATTTGTAGTAATTGTGGGACCTCCCTGACCCCCAGAGGTAGTTATATGCTCCTCCTTTGTGTCCTCAACCTTCAATATAAAAGCTCACTATACTTTTTCACATTCTGTGGTGACTGTTTGATATGCCTTCACTCTAGAAAATAACATTTACTGAGCACTTCCTGCCTGACCGTGTTTAACATACATTATTTCCATTCCTTTAAGATAAGTATTCTTTATACTATTAACAGATGAGGAAACTAATGTTCAAAAAGATAAAGTAACTTCTCCAAGATCACACAGAGAAACCCGGAGCAGAGAAAGCAAGCTTCAGCTGGGCAGGCCTAGCTCCAAAGCCAACCTTCTTTCTGTGGCATCCCTGCAGTCAAAATCCTATAAACCTGGTCTGGGCTCAGACTTTCCCTCTCTGTCCTGGAGGTTAACCCTGAGACTGAGAAGTTTCATGGGACATGGGACTTTTAGTGCTAAAACCAGGACAGTTGTCCATCTAGGGAGTGTGGACAGCTGGACCTTAAAGTGGGCCTCAGGTGTAGAAGGTAGATGCCAGGGAGAGCGGAGCCAGGGGAAAGAAAGCCCACTATATGCAAAGACGCCCTCTGCAGGGCAGACACTGTGATGACAAGTCTTCCAGGGTTGCAGAGGGTTACAGCTTTAGTCTCCAGGCCAGAACACTATCAGGATCATCTGGAGAGTAGAGATGGGACTTGTCAGTGGGTGGGATACGCCAAACATTGGAGAAACATCCTCAAGTTTTTCTTCCGTGTATATGAATTCAAGGAAGCTAAAAAATAGATAAAAATGTTTGAAAATATTCATGGATCCAGTGGACTCACCCACCTCAAATGCTCATCTCTGAGAAGCTTCCGGGTCCACATGCCCCCAGGTCATGACCCAAAGTCCTTAGGGTGCTCCTGATCCTGTGCCTGCTAACAGCTCCCATACCATAGCCCCTCCCCCCAACACACACACACACACATGCACGCAAGCACGCACGCGCACACGCGCACACACACGCACGTGCGCGCGCGCACACACACACACACACACACACTCTCTCATCAAAGCATTTTGCAGTTTCACTCCACGTTTCTGCACACGCTGTGGCCATGGTTCAGACTAAGTCTCTCCTCCCAGAGCCTTCCTGACTACCTCCTCCCTGCCCGGGTCACTGTCCCTTTCTGTTGTCCATCTATGTTCACTGCAAGGGCCAGTGACTGTGTCTCATTCCTGGCGTTCCCAGTACACGCCCCGGTGTTTGGCAGGCAGATGATCAATGAAATGGACCCTGTGCTGCATAGGGCACGCTGCTAATGAAGTCTCCCAGCTTGAAAGGCGCTCTGCTCCAGGTTGCAGCCACAGGTGAGTCCAGGTTTATAAGCACTAAGCTTACTGTCCGCTTCTAACCAAGGCTACTCAGTCTCTGCTGCCTTGGAGGCCACCCCTTGGTTGCCATGGGAACCAGCCACTCACAAAGCCTCTGGGGCCCATGGAACTCCACCCGCACTCCCTGCAGCAGAGCCTTCTCAGATGCTACTAGGGGAACTGCCCAGGTGCCAGAGCCTCCCTCCAGCACCCCTTCCCCTTAGAGTTGCCTTGAGGCAGAAGATGGGGGCCAGGCTTCAGTAGAGATCTATGCACAGCGGTTTTTATGGAGAAATGCACTCAAAGTTGCAAAGCGACCAGCAGTGAAGTGAACTACTGGAACACAACTGGTGAGATGAAGTGGCTTTGCTCTAGGCAGCTGGTTTGAGAAGGGCAAGAACCAAAGAAGCAGGCAGGTGGGAAAATGGAAGAGGGATCAGGTCTCCTTTCTCCCCAGGGTGGGGGTGGGAAGTCTGATGCTGGGAAAGGGGAGCTAGGGAATGTTGCCACCTGCCAGTGGTGGGTCCCAGCAAAGATTTTACCAATTGGCCCCGGGAAGGCAATCAGTGGAGTATTTTGCAAAGGAGGGAACTGAGGCTCAGAGACATTAACCGAACCCATGTTCATTTCTTCTTTCCGGGCACATGCTGCCTGGCCTCCCTTGCAACTAAGAGTGACCATGTGGCTATCCAAGGGATCTGAAAGGAAGTGATGTGGGCCACTTCCAGGCTTGGTCAAATCTCCCCTGCACCCTCCATGCTCTGGTCCTCTCATGGCTGGCTGGACTGATGATGACCCCTGGGCAACCTTGGAAGTGAATAGTGACCTGATGAAGATGGCAGAGCCTCTGCCAGTCCAAGTCCCCAAATGAGTATGCTGAGTGGGTTGCCCCACAAGTCTTTACACCTGCCCAGAGGTACTAAACTTCCAGGGTGATTATACATGTGGAGGTCTGTTTGTTACAAGTAGCCTTCCCTAACTGATACAACAGGACCGTCCTGTCTGGCTTTCAGCTTCCCTGTACCACATGTCACAGGTCAGGACTAATTCCAGGGTGACCGTTGGCATCTGAGATATATAGGCTCAGCTGGACAAGCCCAGAGATGCTGGGCTCAGAGATATTTTGTTCATTGTAACAGCTGCTTCCTATGCTCTGGAGGACTTCCAAGAAGCTGGCTCCAAGACAGAACATGAGTTGTCCACATGACATGTTCCCAGGGAGATTATGGATTTGCTGCCTGGTGTCTGGTACTTAAAAGGTGTTCTATAAATACCTATCGGATGGGTGGTTGGATGGATGGAAAAAAACTTCTACTATAGGGTTCCTACTACAAGGGAAGGAGAGAATGTCCTAAATACAGCCATGTGGAGTTTAACTGAGACACAGGAAGGTAGGTAAAGAGAGAGAGGTGTTCACTCCAGTGACAATACCCACTTGCAAATCCAGCTGGGTTGAGGGACGTGGGTGACCGGAAATGGGCAGGCCCGAGGGGGCAGCTGATGTGCAGTGTTAGTGGCCCCTCCTGCAGGGGAGGCTTCACACCCATCCCCGACCAGGGCTAGGGTTGCCACCTTAGCAAACAAAAACACAGGATGCCCCGTTCAATTTGAATTTCAAATGAACAACGACTCTCTGTCCAAATAAAGCTTGGGACATACTGATCCTAAAAAATGATTCATTTTTCTAACATCTTAAATTGAAATTTAACTGGCTGTCCTGTAATTTGATCTGGCAACCCTTGGCTGCCCAAGAAGGAATCTTGTGTGGACAAACGGAGGAGACAGCTGACACGGCCCGGATCAAAGACCATTGCTTCACGGACGCGCCTTCTCGTCAGGGTGGTTTGCTTCTTGCGAATAACCAGGAGGTAGAAGACCTATAGCAACTTCATTTGGCCTCTTTCTTGCATTCTGGAAAGTATTCTAAGTATGGAAAATGGTAAGTCTATAAATAGTGGTGTAAATTAGAACAGGAAAAAAAAAAAAAACCAACAGCAACAACAACAACTCTGGCCTTCAGTCCACTAGATTCAGAGAAGAAATCCTTCCAAACCAGTGACTATTTATTAAATGTGAAACATACAGCCTCATTCATAATAGAATTTATGGAATGGGAGCGCAAGGGGACTTTCTGTTTTTAACCGTTAGAAGTATCCGTGTTTTTTTCAAGATTCTTAAAACAAACATCATTCACATGTAGTTACTGTCACTGTCAAAAAGCTGATACTTAATAAATAGTCCATCGTCAGCACAGAATTTTCGGTCAGACACTGTTGTTCTCCGCTCCGTAGATTCCACAAAATTTTAGCTTACCTTAATGTTCCTGGGAGCCATGGAAGAAAGTTCTAGAAGTAAAGTTCTAAAAGTAAAGAAAGTTCTAGCCTCACCCTTTTCCCCCTCTGCACACTGATGACATTACAAGTTTACAGTAAAACCTCCTGGGAGAGAAAAAAGACAAGAGAGCTGAACGGGTGAACCCCTCACCATCCTGGGTCGGTTGGACTGGTCAGAGATATCTGGTACCACATCCTGCCTGGTGTGATGCTACCTCATGTTAGTGACAAGATTCAGAGCTGCATCTAAGCATCACATTGTGA